GGAGAGAGACCAAATAGAAGTAGACGTCCCGCGCAGAATATCGTAACGTTTGACACTTTCACACGAACACTTTTACATTTCTTTCGGTCCTAAACTCTTTTATATATGTTTTTAGATGAAAAAATAGTCTATTTTTAAGTTATCACTCTTATTTCGTTTGCTCTTGTCCCTTTTTAGTGCTTCGTGTTGAGGTCTTGTGCAACTTTTGCTTTATTGCTCTCCTTTTTAGTCACTTTTGGATACTTTATATGTTTAAACGAGTTTATCTGTTGTAGAAACGGTTTTAATGCTGTAGTCTTGAGATTTAGAACTAGCGCATTTTCCTCTAGAAGTTTGCAGGAGCCAGGGTAATTTTATTGTGTTCATTTTTCTCTGAATTTCTATCTCGTTCAATTGCAAAATTCACTTTTTATCCTTATTCCTGTGTCTTCATCAGATTCTTGCATTATTTTTTCTTTACTTCTGGCTTGGTTCCATTTCAGTCCACTATTAATTCAATATTTCAGATGACTAAGGGTACACAGGCCTTCGGTAAGAAACACGTGAAGTCGCACACGTTGTGCAAACGCTGCGGACGTTCGAGCTTCCACATTCAGAAGAAGAGATGTGCTTCGTGCGGTTACCCAGATGCCAAGAAGCGTAAGTACAATTGGGGAGCTAAGTCGATCCGCAGAAGAACAACTGGCACTGGCCGCATGCGCCATCTCCGAAGTGTGCATCGACGCTTCAGGCAAGTTGTTTTCTTTTAGTGGTCTTTGCATCTGGAATGTTCCTTTTGTTCTTTTCTTTCTTTGACAGTGCTTCCTGCTGTATTTATTTTGAGGAATATTTTACTGGTTATGTTATTATTTACCAACGCAGAGGTCATTATAATTCTTTGCATAGCCGTGTTTCTCACTTTGAGCTATCGCGCATTTAATTGGATCATCACAGTTTCCTTTCTCAGCCTTTCGATCCGATTATCTAATTAGAAGTTATAAGGTGGAAATAGTATCTCAACATTTTCTCCAGTCTCCGTGGAGAATTTCTATACCTTTCCGCCTCATTTGTTATTTTCAAATGGCGTTGATTTGAAGTTTTGTGAAATTAAAATACTGCAAACTTTTACTACGGTAGAAGTTAAGCCCAAGTTAAGCTGATAAATTATAATCAATCATAACTTACTTATGCTGGTTTTTAATTTGGATAGTTGCAAACTATCTTGTTTTATTTTCAAAATGCTCTTATTCTGCTCGCAATTTTGATTGTTTAAAGATGCTTAGTTTATTTATCACTCTGTCCTCTTATTCTGTTTCGTTGGGAGCCAAACATGCTTTTTCTGGTTTGATTTGACAACGCGTAACTTTATGTTCATTAGTTGTTATTAAAATGAAGTTAAGTAGATTTCACCAATCGCTTTTGCAAATGCATAGCGCGCTCATGGAGGAAACTTACGCCAACAGGAAGGCGTCGTCTAGCTTAGGCTTTTTCAAAGTGCTTTGAATTATCTACAGTTTTTGGCTCATATAGAATATTTATATTAGAATCAGAATACATTCATTAGGCCTATGCGAATATATCTTTCCGTTTTCGTTTGTTTGAACCAAAATAACTGCAAGTCGCTAAAAACGAAAATAGTTCGAGATATTTGTTGAATGATTTCATATACTATAAAACGAAGCCAAAAAAAAGAAAATAATGTAGTACTATCATGAAGTATATAAGGTGAACAACTAATGGCACAAATGAACGATGAAATCTGCACGGCTGTGTATGACTGATTTTAGTCTGTGGCGCCATTTTTCGAAGAATATCACATAGCTTCAAGCTTTTTCGTACACCTATGGCTTTTTGCCTACTCCTAATGGTGTTTGCTTTACTTTAGTTTCAACATAGTAATGTTGTAGCCTTTCACCATCTCAAAAAGCGAGTTCTAGCTTGGCTTCTACCATTTGTGGGGAACTTTCACGATTATCTCTTGGGCATTTGGACAGGAACAGAATTGGGTAACTGTTTCCAATAATGAAAGCTTCAGAGCTTATGTTTTTATGCTGTTTTCATTACCAAGGAAGCAGTTCACGCATGAAACGATTTGGGAATTTTTTTTCAGTCTTTTTTTACGTGGGTGCCACGTTCTGTTCGTTACGTTAATGGTCATGAATAATTTTCCCATCAAATTAACCAAAATTGATGAACACTTCATTAAAAGGCGTAGTGCAGTAATTTATTAGCATAATATCATATTCGGCTTTGTGTGCGGCAAATGACTGAATTTTGAAGAAAAAATTAGCAGTGATTGAATTTGACCATTGAATTAACCTTCTTTCTTCATTGCATGTGGATGCATTGCTTGTAATCAAATTTTTCAATGGGTATGACTTTTTTTAGCACTTTGAATTACTGTTCCATTCTTTAACGACTAGTGTAATCTCTTTGCTGCTTTAGCATCTCTCTGATTTACGTGAACTTCAAAGGGAGATATTCGTAACGCGCTAAACGCTAACGCGTAATCTAAATAGCGCTTAATTTGCAGCGCATCGATTTGGTAGTAACTGAGCAAAGTGGATTATGTTTCCTTTTACTTGCTGAACCCGAGTTTGCTTCCAGTTAAAATAGATGTTCCTCACGTTAAGACCATATATTCAGAAAGATAGTAATTTCACTCCTCTTCATTGTTAGAATTTCAATTCTACCAAAAATCTCTAAAGTACTCATGGTTCACTTGATTCTTTCTTTCTATTTAGCTTCTCATTTAGTTTGACTGCTCTGGCTTCCTTACCATGATGATTTGCACTTTATTATAACGTACTCTCTGCTTTCAGAAATGGATTCCGTGAGGGTACCACCCCCAAGCCCAAGGTCGCTGCCTCCGCCTAAAGTTGTTTTTTGTTGAATGTTTTGTTATAAACATTTGTATTACTTGGTCCAAATGTCTTTCCAATTCATTATGTTCAGAAATACGTTATACATGGAGACTAATGGGTACTTGAACCTATTAATTGAAGTCTTTCTGAGAAATAAACAGCAATATACAGAGTGGGGAAGTTGTGGTGTGGGATAAGGTGCCTTTACCTGCTTGAAAACTACGTATGGTGATCATGACTGATGATTAGGGGTTGTAAGGCGGCGTTCCCACTGCTACATAACTTTATTTGTTTATTGTATTGAAACTAATTTGGATATTTTACGCTTATATAGGGTATTTGCACTTTCACGTCAAATCCAGAAATACTTGGAGGTTGGGTAGGTAGCATAGTTAGAGCTACCTTTAGTGTGTGACTAGCACTATGAGTGCATCTTTTTTAGTTTTTGTTGGATGTGCAATCACAAGATGCTCAGTTGAACAAACTTGGACATATTCTTTACTTATCTTTCATTTCATTATGTATATACATTAATTGTGTTGAAGTCCTTGAAGTCTGTTTCATTATTGTGAGAAGTGTACGTACTCATGTGTGGGTGTG